TTTTAAGCAATTTGAATCTCTTAGATTTAGAATTTTTTTAAAATTAAAGTTTTTATTTTAGCTTCATTTAGTTCTTCTTCAATACTTTCTTTTCTTTATGTAAATCTGAGTTTCTAACCTATATTTTTCTTTTTAGCTGTAAAAATATTTTTTTGACTTTCCTTGCAAGGCAGGTCTACAGGCAACAACTTTTCTTGATTTTTGTTTGAGGAAGTCTATTTCTCCTTCACTTTTAAAAAATAATTTTTCATAGTAGAGAATTGTAGGTTGATGGATTTTTCTCTCTCAACATTTTCATTTATTGATTACCTTCCATTTTTGTACATCTTTGATTTTCCATAATTTTTAAATGATATGCCTAAATTTGGTTTTGGCTTCTTGGTTGTTTGCTTTTAGCATTTATACAGTTTGGTGTTCTCCATAGCGTCTGGGATTTATCTGTGGCTTAGTGTTTAACAGTAATTGGGAAATATTCTCAGGAGCTGTTTAAAGTATTTTGTTCTGCCCTTCCTCTCTATTCTTCTTCTTGTAGTCCCATCAGACATATTGTTACATCTTTTATAGTTGTCATACAGTCCTTAACTATTCTGGTTTTTTTTTTTTTCCAGTCTGTTATTTTTGCTTTTCAGTTTTAGAGGTTTCTATTGATATATCCTTAAACTCAGAGAATCCTCAGTTAGTCTACAAATAGGCCCATCAAGATCATTCTATTTTTGTTATAGTCTTTTGGCTTCTAGAATTTATTTTTGGCTCACTTAGGATATGTATTCATCTGCTTACATTGCCCATCTGCTCTCACATGCTGTATTTTATTTGTTAGAACACTTAACTTATTAAGTTGTTTCTTAAAAAACAAAAAAAAAAAAATTCTTCTCTGATATTCTAATATCCCTGCCATGTCTGACTTTTATGCTTGCTCTACCTCTTCAAATTGTCGTTTTTGCCTTTTAGTATGTGTTATATTTTTTTCTTAATAGCTGGACATGATGTACCAGGTAATAGGAACTGCTGTAAATAGTTTCTTTTAATGTAGTGGTAAGGAGAGGAGGAGAGGAAGTGTTCCCCAGTGCTCTGATTAGGCCTCAATCTTCCAGTAAAGACCTGCCTCCGGACTGTGAACTTTGCAAGCGTTCCCTGGTTTTCTTCTCTCCACTTAGGTGGAATAAGGTGGCTAGAGTGGGCTAGAGTTGGGTATTTTCCTTCTTCCAGGTCAATTAGGCTCTGATGATTCCCCAGGAGGTTAGACTTTGATTAACTCGTTTCCTTGAGGAGAGTCCTTGTTTAGAACAGAGTGCTCTGCCATATTTCAAAACGGTTTCTTTTTTCTCCCCCCAATTCTGAAAGTGTGGGGATTTTTCTCTGATTTTACTATGAGAATCTGGTCAACATCCTCTAGTTAAAACTTACAAAAGTGTGGAGGATCCTCTATGATTTGAGCCTCCTAGAGTTCTAATTCTCAAGATTTGTCTGTACTTTTTCATTTTCTCAGTCTCAGCTTCTGCAAACCATGATTTCCTGTATTTGCCTGTCTCTTCAGTTTTGAGGCCAAGGATTTGTTCTATGTCTTCACCTTTCTTATGAATCTGAGATTTATTTATTTATTTATTTATTTATTTATTTATTTATTTATTTATTTTTAGTCTGTCACTGTTTTGATTGTTAGGATGAAGTAGCAACTTTCCATGCTCCATTCACGAAGAACCCAGAAAGGAGACCCTTAATCCTCTTAAGCTTCTCTGAGTCCTTCCCCCTAGACATCTATATTGCATTTCAGTAGGAGAGATAAAGACCGGCAGACCTTGGCGCCACCCTTAGTCACACTCCTGTAGATCGCAGGCACGGTACTGAGGAATCTTTCTGGAAGGCATTGCTTTTGCTTAAACACGATCAGACCCCCACACCTTCTTCGTGGATCAAGACCGTTTCACATTAATTCCTAGAGCTGTAAGCCTTTAAAAAGGCAAGTATTTTCTTTGTTGGGGAGCTCAGCCTTTAGGCATCTATGCCACCACAGCTTCCAACCTAATAAATCACCACTTCTTTCCCAGTTCTGTGTTCGAGAGGTTTGTTTGCAGCCTTTCCTGCTTCAGAACCAGAAACTGGAATTCGGAGCAGGAGTTTAGAAGCTGAGCACTGTGTACATCTCTGTGATCTTTCTGAAGAGAAAGGATGCAGGAGACACAGAGCACAGAGGTGAGGCAAGAACACAGGGATCCTCAGGCTCTGTCTTGACAGAAAGCAATTCTGCTTTAATCTATTTGTATATTGTCCTTCAGCTTTTTGGAGTAATTGATTCTACTATATAAATGAAAGACAGATACAGAGAGAGACACAGAGAGAGAGAGACAGATTAATAGATAGATAATGGATGGTTGGATGAAAAGATAGGTGGTGCATAGGTACGAAGAATATGCCTGATTGCTATGCATGGAAAAGGCACATAGTGGCCTTCTAATTTTGTGCTCTGAATCAATTTTCTTCAGTCATGGATCTAGAGACTTAGCTTTAGGTAATAAAGTATTATTTAAGAGTGATCTCTGAGGATGTCTTGTGTAATCACAATAGGTAGAGTCTTATTTCTAGCGCTTACTGTCTTGTTTCTAATATTGCTTTAAATTTACCATTGTAAATTCAGCTATATAATGTTCTCCTAATTGTTTTCAAACTCAACATCTCTACTTAACAAGAACTGACAGTTAAAAATGAATGTTGTAATAAAAGTAATAGTCCCATATTAGTTTTATTTGCAGAAGGAACTAATGGTAAAATCAAAAGAGAGAAAAAATAAACAGATATGAATAAAGTGAAGCTTACAGGGAAGTTTCCAATCAATAAAGCTTTTTGTTTCTCTTCTGGGATCATCTACATATTCATTTAAATACAGGTTTCAATACTGAACAAAAACTAATGTTCAAGAACTTATGCACTTGAGCTTTTCTTCTTTAAAACTGCCTATGCCCTTATTTGGAAATCAAGGGTAAATATCTTATTCACTCTGTGAAAGACTGTCAGCTGACCTCAATGTAAATGAATACTCTAGATTTTCTAGTTGTTTGCCTTACCTGCTAGAAAATTCCTGGAGTGAGGGTTAAAAATAAGTATAAAGATACCAGTGTGGTTACTTAATTCATCACCTTGTCAATAGATGAAAATTCACATAATTTAATTTCCCACCCTCCTGTCTCTGTATTTTCTCTGCTGTCTGTCACAGGAGGGCAATGTAGATGCATGTTAATGAGACCAGGCTAGGCAGACACTCAAGGCATTTTTCTCAATCTGGAAAAAACGACTCAATAATATTTACAAAAGTCAATAAGAAGACAGTTGCATAAGCAATTGACAAACTTAAACGAGTTAGCAGACAAAAGAGAGGCAAGGTGAGATCAAGAAGTTTGTGCTAAAAAAAAATAGCAAACAGTATTTATCTTTTCTCTTTGTCTAAAGTCATATGATATGATCTAGACTTTGCACAAATGCCCTTGATTTAGATATCATTTTGTTCCAACAATCTTGAACCACAATAACAGAGAAAAAATAAAAATATTCAGAAATGGAAAAATAGCCTATTTATGAATCACTTTCTATCAAAGACTGTATATTGTTAAATAGAGGTATACTTAAGAATAGCAAGGTAGATGAGTGCTGATATAATAGATTTTACAATATTCTTGATCAATAGATCAAGAATCTGTTCCCTTTCTCCTTTAAAAGATATTGCACAATGCCTAGCTACAGAAAGTTTTACATTAGAATTTACTGTAATATATTGATTTTAAAGACAGTATCATTTCCTACAAGAATGTTAAAAGCACAAAAATATATGAGAACAAAATATGATGATTAATAAATGTATCTAATAAGTTACTATTTTAACTGTTTTGATTCATTGCCATTATATATGTGAAAATGAAGAATGGATAACCATGAAATGTATGGGTGTCCTAAGACTGATGAGGGAGTTTCAGAATAATGACACTGAAATTGTCCAGAAAAGGTGTTATATATACATATACACATACACACACACATGCATGCACAAACATACATACATATGTATGTATATACACTGCCTTTTAAAAAAAATTAATTGCTCTGAAGATAGAGATGGCCTGCTCATAATGAAAAGACCTAGGAATTTTTCATGAGAAAAACATGCTTACATCTATAGTGAACTCCTTATTTGGGCTAAGGAAGGTATTGCCATAAGTACAAGAGATATCGTTTTGCCCCAGGCATTTACACATGAAATATTTAGTTAGATTCTGAGCACTTCATTTTAAGAGACAATTTGACGTTCTACAGAACGTCATTAATAGAATGATTATGTGTCTGGAATCTACAGCACGTAAAGAACTAAGGATGTAGTTGATGATATCCTGAAAGAAAGAAAATCACAGGAATATAACAAGATCTCTATCCAATGCAATCAGACATAGATAAGAGGTTTCTTTCATTCGATACTAATCCAGTAATATCCATCAGGCCCAGTGTGTAAGAGAAGAGAAGAGGGGACACATTAGTTGTGATATAACCAACTCTGTCACAAATAATATGCAAGCCTAGACTCATATTGTGAGTGGGTTATAGAAAGATTTTCTGTAATAGATGGTGCTTAATTTTAAAGACATAATTACCCATGAGTCCTTGATGATACATTATTGATATCTCTTCCTAAAAGTTCCATTTCTAAAAATAGGATTTGTTATAAGTATTTAGAAATGCTTTTTTAGTATTTAGAAAATATTCATATTTAGAAAATAAAGTGTGTCTTTTAAAACCCCTTTCCCCACCAACCTTTGGTTAACTCTTTGGGTCTTTCTTACTTTCCTCCACAAGCCATCATTTCCATTCCCTTCTCTTCTTGATTTCATAAGAGTATCTCGTACACACATTCAACATAAGTTGTAAATAAATAGTTTCTGGCTAAAATGAAGATAGTTCCTATGAGTTTTACATGTTTACAGATGCCAAGTTCTTTTTTTTTTTTTTTTTTTTTTTTATTGGGAGAGGACTACTGCATTTATTTTCCAGAAGAAAAAGCAGACCTGAGGCATCACATTACTGGAACATTTAAACACAATGACAGGTTCTTATCTTCTAAACTTCAGTGAAAGTTGCTTGTACAAACTATTTAATGCATATCTGCCTATGAAACAAGCAAGATGTCTGATGTAGTAGAGAAGCCAGAAGCTCAGTCACTTCATTTCTTTCTGTTGCCTCCAGTTGCTAGCATAGTTGCAACTCGCATAAATATATTTAATGTGTCCATGTAGATTCCCAGCATCGAGTTAATGGGATCATATTTTTGAACTCCATACATTGGTGTTACTTCTGCGCACCTGATTACTTTCTGGGTATCATACAGAAGGAACATGCTGAAAAGAACTAATCCACCATACATTGCCACTGAGTACAGAGTGGCACCAGCCACAGTGGTAGGTGGAAGAAACATAGATCCAAGTGAGGACACAAAAACGAGACCCAGGCCCACTCCCAAGGGTGCACCCATGTTCAGAATCTTTTCACTGGGTGCGCACATGGCCACAGTGGAGAGGGCTCCCACAATGCCAGCTGTGTACCATGCAGCTCTGATGAGAAGAGGACCCCCTAATATCGTCAGAGGAGCAACCACTGCACCCATCACACCAGAATGTAGCAACCAAGCAAGGTGCTTTGGGCCTGGGCTCCGGTCATATGGTATTGATTGTACCAGCATTCCAGCTCCAATCATGGCTGCAAAGGTTGCATCAATTGTCACCCAAGAGCCTTTCATCATAAAGTTCATGAGAACAGGCGTTCTGCTTATTGCCATGGCAGACAAAGCTGTTAAACCAATACTTCCTGCTAAGTACATATAGGTGGAATGAATTCTATCCTTCACATACTGAGGCCAAATTACAGCCTTTTCAAGAGCTCCAATCTCATTAGACATTCCCAAGCCACAGTAGCACAATGTTCCAAGACCAACAGCAGCTCCTCCAGCAACAAACCATCTTCCCATCTGATCAATTTTAAATATTTTTTCCATTGATGGTTCCATTGCTGCCTCTTTGAGTTCTTGGCCAGTTCTCCCACGCCGGATCCCAATTCTTGTTTTGGTGGCATATTCCCTGCTGGGTGTTAACAGCCATTGATTCTTCGTGATGGAATTCTTCACGATGGAATTCTTTGCAACAGGGGAGGCCTTGGTGAAAGCTGAATGCAAAACCCTAGAAGGTAGTGTCCGGAGACACACAAGCCTTGCAGCCAGCATGGTGTTGCACCAGGTCTACCAAGCAGATCTGAAATGCTCGGTCCCCACGTCACCTCTGCCGGGCAGTTTCCCTTCTGGGCCGGCGAAGCCCGCACTCCACCTACCCGGTCCCCCGCACCGATGCCAAGTTCTTAAGGAATTGAAACTAACTTGAAATTTAGGGCAACAGCAATCTTCATTTTTTGTGTAGAGAGACAATTTCAAAGACCCATTAACACTGCATGAGAGGCTGAGTAATCCAACTACTAGTGGAAAAAGTATAAACTATACTTCTAGGTTGAATAAAGAACCCCATACAAATTTTCCAAAAGATGATCATTGGGAAACGCACCAGTTCGTTCACCTCTGTAAAGTACTTCTCATTTAGAAGAAATAAAACAGTATAGTGTCTTTGTGACCTTTTCTTAGTCATCTTTACCAGTTCATTACCCGATACCTGACGTTTACATTTAAAGTTCCTCAAACATCTTTCCAAATCCCTTTCTCTTCTGACAGAATCCTCTCTATAATCTTTTAACTCTGCTATAATCCACAATATTTTCTTCAAATACAATATGCATGCTATTTTTAAAAAACAATCACTCTCTCTTTTCTTTGCCTCTATGCTCTTACATCTAACTACTTTCTTAATGTGTCTAGCTGAGACATCTTAAAGGCTCCTCAACTAAGTAGGTCTGAAATTAAATTCATTATCTTTCCCTCAAATCAGCTCTTTGTCTAGGGTGATATGTTTTATGAATGAAGCTATAATTTATCTAATTGCATAAGTCAGAAATCTAGCATTTGTCCCTGGTCACTCCTAGTTGTTCGCACTCAGGACTCATACGTTTTCATTGATTATTAATATCACCTTCTAAATATTTCTCAAAACTGGCTTCTTTAATTCATCTTATAAGTTCAACCCCATAGCTCATGACTTTCAACTTAGATTGTTGCCTCTGTTTCAATCCATTTTACATATGGAAAAGAGTGATCTTTTAAAAATGGAGATCTCATTAAAAAGGCTAATGGTCTCGGGATGTCCTAAACTGCCCTCCTTATTCTCATCCTGCATTCATCTGCTGTCACTTCCTCTCCCCAGATCACTTTCTGCTTAGACCCCAGAAGTTTATTCAGCTTTCAGAAAACTATGCTCCCTCACAATGAAGGTCTTTACACTTGTACTTTCTCCCATCTGCTTGAATATTCTGTTCAAACCCTCTTTTTATATTAAAGTACGTTTAACTGTTGGCTTTCAACTCACATGTTTTTTTTTTTTTTTTTTTTCTTAAAATAGGCATCCTTGATGTCTCATACTGAATCAAATCCATTCATAGAATTTCATGACAATTTATACTTTTCCAACATAATACTTTTAAGACTTTGTAACTATATTTGTGTGACCAGTTAATATCTGCTTCACCCTCTACATTATAGGTGCCAAAAAGGCAGATAGTGTGTTTTCATAATTTTCTGCAAAACACTTATTTACAAATATGATTATTAAGTAAATGAAAGAAAGAATATATGAATAAAATAAATAAGACATTTGAAATTTAAAAAGCTTCAAAAGGAACTTCTGGAGTTTTGGCAAATTTTGCTATATTTGTGCTATTGATATTTAACATATAATCATCAGATTTTACTGAGGAACAATATTCATTGAAAGTTTACTTGGATGAATTTACTATGACATCACTGATGTGAAGGTTAAATTGAGGTAGGCGTTAAGCAAGATATTTCTTTGAGCATGTTTAAGATTCCAGTTTTCTGCCTTGTTCAAAGTGATTTCTAGAAACATTTTGAAAATATGCTATGGATTGGGTAAATAAGCTTGAGTAAAAAGAAAATTTTTTCAAATTTATTTTTTCCTATAGCCATTCAAAGGCATTTGCGCACATTTCTTTGTTCTTTGTGTTTTTATACAAAAGGAATACCACTCTTCTTCATTCTACTTTTACATATACAAGCACATTTCTCTAGTTTTATTTTCCATTTAAAATATACATGCACATGCGGAAAATTGCAACTGATTCAGGCTGTCTCAATACATACCAATGTGCTACTTGATCCTGTTCTTGATATTTTGTTTTTTCCAGAATGAAATGTTTAGTCTTTTGCTAGTAACTTCAAAAAGATTTTGAAATATTTCCAAACTATGTAACATACTCATAAAAGGAAGATGCAATAAAGTAATATTATTTTTGTTCAAATTGTTCTAAGATTCAATTATATTATTTTAAACTCTCTTACTTCTTAAAAACTTGTAATGATGTATTTGAAGCCACTTCTAGGCAGCTCCTCAACTAAAGAGCCATGGGAAGGTATGTAGACTAATATTAAAGACAGTGAAAAAGGGTAATGATAGAGACTTAATGTCTGAAAATGCCAGAATTTTGATTTATTGAGTATAATGGTTATTTTATGTATCAATTTCTAGGGTATTTTTTTGGGTGAGATTGCCATTTAAATTGGTAAACACTGAATAAGCAAATTTTCTCCCATAATGTGGGTAGCCTCATTTAATCAGTTGAAGGCCTAAAAAGAAAAAAAGACTAGGCTCCACAAACAAAGGACAGTTTTACAGTACCCTTGGACTTCATCTACACCATTACACTGTTCACTCCCCTGGGTCTCTAGCCTGCCAGCCTACACTGTAGATATTGGACTCAGCAGCTTCCATAATTGTGTGAGCCAATTCCTTATAAGAATGGCACACAAAAAAAAAGAAGAAGAAGAAGAAGAGAAAAGAAATTCGTCTATTTTCTTCTCTCTCTATCGCTCCATATTATATATGCTATTAAATTTTATATTAAAATGGATGAATATTTTGAGATATAGATTAAGTATTAGTAAAGCCCTCTATATTTTTCAGCACTCAACAATTTATATATATATACATCACAGTGAATATATCCAATCATATATAAAATTTGTGAACAATTTTATAATTTGACAATACTCATGGAATGAATATTTATAAAGTATTTTTCTTTTCTGGAAGTATGTAGCCATTTCATATAATCTCTTTTCCAAGATTTAGAATTAGATAGCATACTTTTGTCTTTGTTGCTTAACATATTTTCTAGAACAGTAGCATTATAATACTGGCAGAACACATAAAGAAAGGATTGAAACTGGACCCTTCTTTACAGGTCATACAAAAATCAACTCAAGATATGGATTGAAAACTTAAATGTAACACCTAATCCTGTAAAAACCTTTTAATAAAACCTATGACATATCAGTCTGGACATAGGTCCTGGCAGAAATTTCACGACAAAGATGCCAAAAGCAATTGCAACCAAAGTAAAAATTGACAAGTGGGATCTAATTAAACTAAAGAGCTTCAACACAACAAAAGAAACTATCAACAAAAGAAACAAAAAACCAGCCCACAGAATGGGAGAAAATATTTGCAAACTATGCATCCAACAAGGGTCTACTGTTCTAATCTGTAAGGAATTTAAGTAAATCAACAAGCAAAAAAACAAAACAACAAAAAACATCAAAAAGTGAGCAAAGAACATGAACAAGCACTTTTCAAAATAAGACATAGGCACAGCCAACAAGCATATGAAAAATAATACTCAACATCACTAATCATTAGAGAAATGCAAATCAAAACCACATTGAGATATCAGTCAGAATGACTATTATTAAAAAGTCAAAAGATAACAGATGCTGGTGAGGTTAAAAAAAGAGAGAGAGAGGATGCTTATACATTGTTGGTGGAAATGTAAATTGGTTCAACACGGTGGAAAACAGTTTTGTGATGTCTCCAATAAGTTAAAGCTACCATTCTACCCAGTAACCCTATTATTGGGTATATACCCAAAGGAATAAAAATTATTCTGCCATAAAGACATGTGCATTCATATGTTCATCACAGCACTATTCACAACAGTAAAGGCATGAAATCAATCCAGGTTCCTATAGACAGTGGACTGGAAAAATAAAATGTGGTACATATACATCATGAAATACCATACAGCCAATAAAAAAGAATGAGACTGTGTACTTGGAAATAGCATGGGTGGAGCTAGATGCCATTTTTTAAGCAAACTAATTCAGCAACAGAAAACCAAATACTGCATGTTCTCACTTATTAATGGGAACTAAATGTTGAGTACACACAGATACAAAGAAGGGAAGAATAGATATGGGGGTCTACTATAAGGTACAGAGTGGGAGGAGAGTGAAGATTAAAACACTACCTGTAGGCTCTTATGCTCTTTTCCTGGGTGACAGAATAATCTGTACAAAAAACTCCCATGACATGCAATATAACTGCACATGTACCCTTGAAACAAAGTAAAAGCTGAAAACAAATACTGGTGGGACATTTTTAAAATGGGTGGGACATTCAAAATTCTTAATGGTTATTATATAGGCAATAGGATATACTCTTTTACCACTGGGAGAACACGTGAACAAGAGGAAGTGTCTTTCTCTAGCTTTCTATTGTAACTGACAGAACTGGACTCAGATTTGGTTTGGCACATTCTCTCTCCTTTTTTTTTTTTTTTTTTTTTTTTTGGTCTGTTTTGGCTTTCCACTCTTAGTAAACTATCCCTTGAATAAACAAAACATTTCAGGTAGTTTCTGAAAAGTCCTGTCAGAAACTGGCACATTGAATCCCCAGCAGTGAGAGAAATTGAAGACAGCAAAGTTGCCACCTCCATGCCAAATTTACAAGAAGCTGAGTTTCCAGGTATGTCAAGTCAAGGAGTTCCAGCAAGCCCAGATAAATAATTTTCAGGACCCAGTACAAAGTAAAAATTCTAGAACTCTTGCTCAAAAATTGCTAAGAATTTCAAGACAGTGAGAGCAAAGTATGAAATCAAGTGTTGCGTCCCTTGAGTGTGGGGCCCTGTGTGGCTGTCAGAAAGCATGCTCTGGTTCCAAATATACTTCAACCCCTTACTTTGTAGCAGATGCTTCTTTAGATACTCAAAGGGTAAAGATTGACACTCATTATCCTGAGTTAATGAAGAATAATCTCAGGTGAACATTAGCAGCCTGGATTGGGTATGAGTGAGTAATGCCTACCTAATTACTACCAAGAAAAAAGCTGCCTCTCAAAAAATGAGAAAT